CTAAAGCAGCGCATTCTGTTGTTCTCTTTATTTTTCAAAGGCATGACATTTTGTAGTTATTTTGAACATAACGTTACACAATTAAAAATATAAATTTTACCATACGACTATAAATGACAGAGTATTAAGTTATTTCCCCTCGATGGGGAAAATAATCCAAGTGAACTTCAATCAGTACTCAATATTAATGTAAACTGCTTTAAATATGACTGCTGCTTATTTCCAGTCTGCGCTTGACTGTAGTCGCGTCTGTCTGCTTATTGAGTTTATTTAACCCATCGCAGTTTACTGGAGCTGTGTGAACTAGAGTGACTACTCACCTTAATGTTGTTCTAAAGGCTTATTACTTAATAACACAAACATGTCCTGCTGGCGCTTGCCAATTTAATGGCAGAGAATGGTGACTTTAGGTTTGTTGTTGTTTTGAAGCGGATGCATATCTGTGGTAAAATAATCCTATGCATCTCGTGGCGTATATTCCAAGCATTCTGAAGGTATACTGAGGGTTTGGTGAGAAACAAATGGAAAAGGCAAGTTATTATATTTTATGAAAATCAGCTCACGCCGCGCACAAGTGCATATCCTTTTGAGATATCAATTATAATCAATTTTAATAAAACACAAGACTACATTATATAACTAACAGTAGGCTATTTAATATCTGTTGTTCTCCGGTTGTCAGTCAGAATGGCAGTTCTTGCATGAACATTATAGGCCTATATATACCCAAGCCAATTTATTATTCCTTACTTCTTGTCTTAGTGTTTAAAGTATTTATTTTTAAACTAATTAATGAATTACTTAAACAAACAGACTTACTGGGTGAGCAGGGTAGGCTATCAGACAGACAGCTGTCATATCATACATACCCTGCCATGCCCAGCTGATGCAAAGAATATAATTTATATCTATATATAAGATATAATATATATATATAAGAAAGCCCTGTCTAGACTCTGGCCAGGTGTGAGTTGTGTCCAGCTGTCTGTTTGTTTGATGAAAGAAGATTAAATGTAGTTGCAATAAATGTGTTATTAATCCGTGCACCTGCAGCAGTGGAGGACTATTATTCTGCTGCACGGAACTGAGGAAGAACTGATGACGGCACGGTTTGATCTTCGCCTGACCAATCAGCAGAAAGGGGCGTTTAATCCCGCCCACGTGTAGAAATCTAATATTCAAGCTGTTTATTCATTTTTCTACTTTCAATATTAAATCAAAAAACGAATGATCGAATGATACACGGATTTAAAAGCGTCTTATTGCTGGATTTGTTTGTTATTCCTGACAATCACAGAAGAGAAGGAGCACGTTCTCTTAATGCTCAAAATGTCAATTTTTACAGGTTTTAAAAACGTTTTTTGTTTGATTCGGACGTTAAGATAACATTATATTTTATAATTGTGCAAACATTGTAATTTTTTAAAAAGGTTTTAGTTTTTAACATTATATAAGTTAACATGAACAATATTTATATAGTATATATGAATCTTAGTTAATATTATGTTCAAAATTGACTACTACATTATTAATTAAAATGTATAGTTAATATACATCTGTTACTGTACCATGAACTAACAAACTATATTTTTTAATAACAAATAAATACAGTAAAAATAGGTGGTTCATAGTTAGTTTGTTAGTTCTGAATTAACTAGTGTTAAAAACTATATTATTTAACTATATTAGTTAACATGAACAATAATTATATAGCATTTATTAATGTTAATTAATGTTAAGTTAAAAATGTTTTAATACATTATTAAAATTTAAAGTTGTATCTTAACATTAGTTTATGTACTGTGAATTAACATGAACATGAAAATGGCAAAAATTATATAAAACAATGTTACCAGTAAAATACATATTATATATACATATATATGTGTGTTTATTATTCTAATTAATTGAACTGAGCAGTGAAGAGTCAGACTTAAAATGTTTTTTATCCTTTCAGTGAGAGAGGTAGGATAAATAAAAGTTGTAATGATTTTTTCTTTAAAGATTTTTTAAAATGATTTTAATGCTCTAAAAGCATTTCTACAATAATTATTTAGAAGTATACTGAGTACAGAACGGCCGTAACATTTCAACTGATTCTATGCATTTGTTTTCATTCTGATACACAGCTAATTAGCTGATCAGGATTAAGGTTAAAAGATTTTTAATCCTGTGGCTCTATCTGGTGTTCATCCTTGGCATTACGGTCTTCACCGGACACCAATAATGAGTGATAGTTTACATTTTTTTGTGGCCTCCGAGCATGATGCATTTTTTAAACTAAGCAAGTTTCCTCAGAATGACTTGTTCTCTATAAGTAAAAAGTTTGGAAGAGTTTGGAAAATGCACTTTAATAATATAAGACAATTACTGTTTCCTTTTATACAGATATTTTAATAAATCACCACGGCAAAACTGTTCAAGCTATCCAAAATCCATCCGCAATTTAAGTTCCTCAATGTTTTGGCATCATGTAGGAAAAGTTTGGTGTGTATAGTATATTTCTCCTCTGAGGAGTTTGCATTAATTCACAGCCATATTTTTCCAAAAATCCACATTAAAATCGAAATAGATGACTTCCTGTTGGTCGTAGCTAATTACTATAAATTAGAAAGTTGTCCGGCTTGATGAGAACAATATATGTACCACGTTTGGTGGCTGTAGCTAAAACTCCCCCCCCCCCCCAAGTTTTGTCAAAAGGTGGCGCTATAGAGTGCCTCAACCATGCCCTTTTCTGAGCTTTTCCCAGTGTCTATATATCATTAATACTGATATGTGTGTTGAGTTTCATGAAATTCTAAGAATGTTATCTGAATCAAAATCACCAGAAAAGAATAGTCAAGTTTGACACGTTGCCATAGCAACAAAATTTTAGATATCAATATCCCCTCACCAGTTTTACATCGGCCGTGTTCTGACATTAATCTGATGAAGTTTGAAGCAAATCGAGTAAAAATAAGATGCTGCATTAAAAGCATTTTGAAAATGACACACTTCCTGACGCCAGTTGGTGGCGCTATATCTTTGACTCCTAATAGTCACATCAATGCGATCGGCATCATACACCGAACAAACCCCTGCAGTTTGATCAAAATCAGACAATATGTGTGGATGCTATTAGACACTTCCTGTTTCTCATTTCTCGCCATAACTTCACCGCCTCGCCACGGGCAATTTAGCATCCCCAATGTCTTGAGATCATGTTCACCGAGTTTGGTGGCAATCGGTTGGAAACCCTCATAGGAGTATATCAAATTCCAAGTCAAGTTTGACACGTTGCCATAGCAACAAAATTTTAGATATCAATATCCCCTCACCAGTTTTACATCGGCCGTGTTCTGACATTAATCTGATGAAGTTTGAAGCAAATCGAGTAAAAATAAGATGCTGCATTAAAAGCATTTTGAAAATGACACACTTCCTGACGCCAGTTGGTGGCGCTATATCTTTGACTCCTAATAGTCACATCAATGCGATCGGCATCATACACCGAACAAACCCCTGCAGTTTGATCAAAATCAGACAATATGTGTGGATGCTATTAGACACTTCCTGTTTCTCATTTCTCGCCATAACTTCACCGCCTCGCCGCGGGCAAACCGTTCGAGATATCAAAAATCGCTTGGCAGTTTAGCATCCCCCATGTCTTGAGATCATGTGCACCGAGTTTGGCGGTAATCGGTTGGAAATCCTCAGAGGAGTATATCAAACTCCAGAGCATACGCTTTTCACAAAACCGTAAATAGCCACCTTCCTGTTGGGCAGAGCACTGACGGTCAGCATGAAAGTTGTTCGGCCTGATGAGACATACATGTGTATGAATTGTGGTGAGTGCAGATCAAGCGTGCGTGCTACAGCGCTCCTTCTTCTTCTTTTGTGTTTAATGGCGGTTGGCAAACCAGCTTAAGGTGCATTTCCGCCACCTACTATAACATACTATATACTACTAACATAACCCCCCCCCCCTAAATTCTTCTAATCAAATCTGTATCTCTCAGATATTTTAGAAGAAAACCATAAACCCTTAGATGTTTCTGTGCATTCTGAAATATGTTCATAACTGAAATGTCATTGATTTCCATATCTCTCAGTTTTTCAACAAGTTGCTTTCTTTGTCCTCGTTTGCTTCTATGGGCAGGTCTCCATAAAAACTCTACTCGTACTCCTGTTTGGTTTATTCTGTACAGATTCTGTAATATGTCATAAAGTATATCCTGTCTAGATGCTGATTTCCCACCATTTAAGCTGTGTAATAGTGAATATGAATCTGAAGCAGCTGCTACACTTACAGGATTGGTTTCTTCCAGCCACTGCAGACTCAGAGCTATTAGAGTTGCCATCATGTCTGCTGTGAACACAGACACATCGTTAGATAACCTTCTAGCTGTGCTACATTTAAAAGAGGGAATATATATGGCTGCTGCTGTATACCCAGAATCTGAGCCATCCGTGTATATTTGAATGCTATTAAAATAGTTTTGTTTCAAATAGTGATCCACGACTGTTTCTTTAGGCATACGTGCTGCAGAGCTCCTGAAAACTCACCTTTATAAAGGCTAGGCCCCCCCGGTGACCCCCGGTGACCCCCCCATGTGAAACTCAGTCCAGCCCTGATGGCCGCAGACTGCAACATGTGTGCAATGTTTCAAGAGTTTTCGAGTATGTTAAGGGCCCCAAAAACCTTAAAAGAAAAAAATTATTATAATAATAACAACCCTTAGAAAAACAATAGGGCCCTAATCAAGACGACGCTGCAGCTGCTGAGGGATGCTGTCTTTGTCAGGAATGAAAGCCACGCCCATTAGCGAACCACCGCCTAGGGAGTGACGTCATTTCTACCGACGCGTCCGCGCGTGTGCGCATGCGCACTGTCACATCCACAGCGGACATCTTGGAATTAAAGGGGCGCCGAGCGAATCCTGACAAAAACGACGATTCCAGGTGCGAGATCCGAGCTTCTAGAGCGCGCCATGTGTGTGTGTGTGTTACAGTGTGTGTGTGTGTGTTACAGAGAGTGTGCTTGTTCATGAAGCGCGTTTGACGGTCTGAGAGTGATGAAGCGCTGTGTGTGTGTGTGTGTGTGAGTGAGTGTGTGTGTGAGTGTGTGTGTGAGTGTGTGTGTTACAGTGTGTGTGTGTGTGTGTTATAGAGAGTGTGCTTGTTCATGAAGCGCGTTTGACGGTCTGAGAGTGATGAAGCGCTGTGTGTGTGTGTGTGTGTGTGTGTGTGAGAGAGAGAGAGAGAGAGAGAGAGAGAGAGACACGGTGTGTGTGTGAGACGTGTGTGTGTGAGTGTGTGTTTGTGTGTGTGTGTTCCTCACAGTCTCTGCTACTGTAATCTCTCACTGTTATGAATCTCATGTCACTGCAGGTGTCTTTAGAGCAAATGTAGGGTGATTTATGAGCTAAAGATGTGTTTCTGAGGATCTGAGTGAGTGTTTTCTGCTGTGTGATTCGAGGTGAATGTTCCAGATGCGAGCCGTGACTTGTTCAGCAGTGTCTCAGAGACAGAGCCGGATGTTATTGATCAAAGTCAGGAGCTCGAGAATCGTGTTTTCAGCGGCCTTCATTATAAACCAGAAGAAACTCCCACATGTCGTCCCAGTTTGAAACTCATTGTCTTGAATGTCGGTGATTCAGAGCGTCCTCTCATTACAGAGCTGTGTGCGTCTATATTCTCAATCAGCTTTAACTGCACATTTCCGGACGTGTTGATCTAAATAAAACATCTAAATAAATCACTTGCTACAAAATATGATTTAAAAAAAAAATGTTTTATTTTTAAGTCGTTTTTTTAAAATGTTTTTGTTGATTATTTTTATTAAGTGTTTTTTATTGCTTTTATTTAAAAAGTCTTTATTAGTTATAAGTTTACAGTAATGAATAATCATTTGATTAATTATTAGCTTTTGTTCAGCTGGTAAAGCCCAGTTTGGGAAGCTCTGCTGTAAGCTGTTAAAGGGTTAGTTCTCCCAAAAATGAAAATTCTGTCATTAATTCAAGACCTTCATTCGTCTTCTGAACACAAATGAAGATATTTCTGATGAGATGCGAGAGCTTCCTGACCCGAGGGCGAGTAATTCATGACAGAATTGTGTGAACTAACCCTTCAATATCAGTGACTGAATGTGTTGTTTGTGGTGTAATGTTGGGTCCTCGAGCGCTGTAGTCCAGTGACGAGATGAAGCACGTGTGTGTGATGAGCTGTTGCTCTGGCTCTTCAGCTGTCGTCTGACGTCATCATCATCATTATCACGCCCTTCACACACGAGCTGCACGTGTGTCACAGACGGGGATGAGCAGCGTGATGCAGCAGTGGAATAAAGAGGCTTTAAGTGACCGCAGCCCAATGAACCTGCTGCCCTCATTGACAGGGAAACTGTGTGTGTGTTTATTTCAGTTTTGTGTGTGTGTGTATGTGTGTGTGTGTTTGTGTCAGTCAGTGAGTGAGTGTGTGTGTTTAAATAAAGTCTGTTGTTACTGATGCAACACAGTATCATCATCATCACGCCCTTCACACACGAGCTGCACGTGTGTCACAGACGGGGATGAGCAGCGTGATGCAGCGGTGGAATAAAGAGGCTTTAAGTGACCGCAGCCCAATGAACCTGCTGCCCTCATTGACAGGGAAACTGTGTGTGTGTTTATTTCAGTTTTGTGTGTGTGTGTGTGTTTGTGTCAGTCAGTGAGTGAGTGTGTGTGTTTGTGTCAGTCAGTGAGTGAGTGTGTGTGTGTTTAAATAAAGTCTGTTGTTACTGATGCAACACAGTTTATGCTGCCGTTGCAAATGAAGAGCTTCCACTTCAAATCTGATCCTCAGGATCTTTTGAGGAGCGTTTGTTTCCAGAAGCTTTACTTTCACTGTTCCTCAGCGGAGGAATGATCTTCACAAGCCTCCAGAACATCTCACATCTTCTGAGGAGCCTTTATTTCTTCAGCTCTCAGTCACTGCGTTATATGTTTGGAGCATTTCAGTCTCATCTTATTATTACTGGAGATATAGAGCGACCACTGATATTCAGATCAATTTATATCAGTATCTGCTGTAGTGTTATACAGATCTCACTGATGTACATCACAAGCAGCAGAATTTCATCAGATAATGAAACTGCATAAAACTGAGCTGTGTTTTCCGCTGTGTGGGATGATGAAATGAATGAGTCAGTCCTTCAGTCCGGCCGCATGTGTCTCGCCCGGCTCTCCGCGTCATGTCCTGTCTCTCTCAGCTGAGTAACGATGAGTGAAGTGTGTATCTGAAGCGCACGCTAGTTACTGTGGTGATGAATCTGAACCTCATCTGTCTCCGCGTGTCGCAGTAACGGCTCTATCTGCTTTCCCATTAAAATACTGGTTTATCTAGCCAGATAACTTCTGATGTGTTCGATTCGCAGCTCAGCTGATCTCCTCGAACCTTCTCCTGTTCTCAGGCCTCTGTGAGATCATGTCCATGATGTTGTCCCCTCGTGATGAGAAGCTGGAGAAGCTGTCGCAGGAGGAGATCATCTCCAACACCAAGCTGGTGATCCAGGGTCTGGAGGCGCTGAAGAACGAGCACAACTCCATCCTGCACAGCCTGCGGGAGACCATCAAGTGTCTGAAGAAGGACGAGGAGGCCAGCGTGGTGCACGAGAAGTCCAGCCTGCTCAGGAGATCTGTGGAGATGATCGAGCTGGGGCTGGGCGAGGCTCAGGTGAGACGCCGGCTCACGCTGTACTCAGAACTCATGCTCCTCAGTGCTGTTTCTCTTTATAGTCTTTCATCACAACATAACATCGCGCTCCAGTCCCGTTGTGGTTCTCATTAATGATCCAGTCGTTTCCTTGCAAATGCAGCAGTAGCCCCTCCCACTTTTTTCTCAGTAGAACACAACAGTCGGTTCCGGAAGTAAAAACCCTGTTTGTTTTCTTTAGTGATAACGTATAAGCCGTTAAAAACAGACCTACTGTGAGACACGAGGTAGTTAATCGACGGAAAATGCTATTGTTGAAGCCATCAGTGCGTAGATAGATAATCACGTTCAACAGCAGAATTTCTAGTGTAAAACTACATTACCCATGATTCTGCAGCGAAATCTCCACCAATCAGAGAATCGATACTCTTCAGTTCCGCCCACTCCCATAATGCACTGCGACTGACGTATCGCTCTCAAAATACATAAATATTTGTTTGCATAATATGTTTGTTTCTATATATATAATGGTCAGTATTGTAGCACTCAAACATGTTTTCTCTCCCCAATTTTGATCACAAAGGACTTTATCACAAATACATTTAAATAATGTTTTAAAAGAATCATTTAAAGTTGTTTATATGAAATTGTTAACCTTTTTTTTCTAAGTGGAGTTTTATAAAAGGTTTGTTTTTGTGATATCGGTTGTTGAATGCTGAATGACTCTGAAGTAGGGCTGTAAAACCGATTAATCGCTTCCGAAATTAAAGTACGTGTTTTATGTGTGTGTGTACTGTGTATGTTTAATATATATTCCTATATAATATAAATCATATAAATGTGATAGTTATATACACACATATTATGTAAACACATCTTTATTTAGGAAGCAATTAATCACGATTAATCAATATTACAGCCCTACTCTGAAGTAGGGGTCGACTGATATGTGTTTTTCAGGGCCGATGCCGATTATTACAGATCAAGAGACCGATAACCAGTATTTTGAACTGATTTATATGTCTGGTGTAAAAATGAAAATGAAAGTCAAAATTAAGACTATAACACGGGCTTTGACAAACTTTCTTTACTAGTTTATCGGCATATCGGTTTTGAAAATAACCATAAAAAGCTTAATATCGGCACCGATAATCGGTCGAGCCCTACTCTGAAGCTGATATGACAATACGTTTCAATATAACCAACAAACTTCTATATATAATCAACGTCTTTAAAACAAACATTTGACATTTTTCCATACTTTTTTCCCCGGTTATGTAATTTGCAAAGCCTCATGGGATTGTAGTTCTTTAAAGCCGTTATAGTCTCGTCTCTTTGTCTGATTTTCAAATACGTTTTTGGTTCAAATGAAAGTTTGTAATGTTGTGATTCTCATCGTCGCTGGTTGGTTTGTTTCATGGCTTTTAATGCTTTAGCGAAGACTCTTTATAAATCCTTATGGGAACCACAGCTGCTGATTGCACGCTATTTTCACTAGCAAAAACGTCAGATTGTGAAAGTCAGTAAATGTTGACTCGTGTTGACTCCAGAGCTGGAACGGATGTGTGTCATAGAGTTCCTCCCAGACGAGTGAGCATGTGACCGTGTGTGTGTGTGTGTGTGTGTGTGTGTGTGTGTGTGTGTGTGTGTGTGCAGGTGATGATGGCTCTGTCCAATCATCTGAACGCGGTGGAGTCGGAGAAGCAGAAGCTGCGCGCTCAGGTGAGGCGTCTCTGTCAGGAGAACCAGTGGCTGCGAGACGAGCTGGCAAACACACAGCAGAAGCTGCAGAAGAGCGAGCAGAGCGTGGCACAGCTGGAGGAGGAGAAGAAGCACCTGGAGTTCATGAACCAGCTCAAGAAGTACGACGAGGACGTGTCTCCTTCGGTGAGAGCACGCCTGTGAAGAACATGATCACAGATTACCCACACTCACTAGTGCTGACTACTGAGTCAGTCCTCGCTAGTGCTAGTGCTGATAGGGATGAGCTGAACATGTGTAAGTTGAACATGTTAAACATTTACTTTGTGAATCACTTTTAAAAGTTGTATTTGTTAACATTAGTTAATGAACTGTGAACTAACAAACAAAAAATTTAACAATTGAATTTTATTAAATGGCATTAATTAAGATTAATAAATGGTATAAAATATATTAAACAATTGCATTTTTATTAAATAACAACAGAGATTAGTAAATGATGTAGAAATATATTGCACAGTTGCATTTGTATTTAATAGCACTAACAGGGATGATTAAATGCTGTAAAATGTGCTCGTGCTGGAGTTTGTGTCGATTTCAGCTCATCTGCAGCACAGGGACAGAAAGTGTGTCCGTCTCAAGCCTTTCTGGTGGTTTTGAACCGATGATCTAGTAAAGGAGCTTTTTTCATGTCGTTTCCAACCTGTAATTACGACTTTCTGCAAAGATGAATGTTGTTTTTCAGGAGTTTTATCCCAGGCCTGTGATTTTTAGCAGTGACTCTAGTTTGTACAAGTTGGGAGCTCATAATTACAATCATTCCAACACATCTGAGCTCTCTCTGTCTGTCTGTCTCTCTGTCTGTCTTTCTCTCTGTCTGTCTGTCTGTCTGTCTGTCTGTCTGTCTGTCTGTCTGTCTGGCCATCTGTCTCTCTGTCCGTCTGTCCGTCTGTCTGTCTGTCTGTCCGTCTGTCTGTCCATCTGTCTCTCTGTCTGTCTGTCTGTCTCTCTGTCCGTCTGTCCGTCTGTCTGTCTGTCTGTCTGTCCGTCCGTCTGTCTGTCTGTCTGTCTGTCTGTCTGTCTGTCCGTCTGTCTGTCCATCTGTCTCTCTGTCCGTCTGTCTGTCTGTCTGTCTGTCTCTCTGACTGTCTGACTGTGTCTCTCTCTCTGTCTGTCTTTCTAATTGTCTGTTTCTCTGTCCGTCTGTCTCTCTGTCTGTCTGTTCTGTCCATCTGTCTGTCTGTCTGTCTCTGACTGTCTGACTGTGTCTCTCTCTCTCTCTCTCTCTCTGTCTGTCTTTCTAATTGTCTGACTGTCTGTCTCTCTGTCTGTCTCTCTGTCTGTCTGTCTGTCCAGGAGGAGAAGGACGGTGAGCCGCCCAAGGACTCTCTGGACGATCTCTTTCCTAACGATGAGGAGGAACACACTCAAGGAAGTAAGTGAACATTACTGCTTCTTCTCTCATGTGTGCGTATGTCATTAACCCTGCTCTGACCTTTGACCTCTGACCTCTGCAGTGCAGCACCAGCACAACAGTGCGGCGGTGGCGGCGGCTCAGCAGGGCGGGTACGAGATCCCGGCGCGGCTGCGGACGCTGCATAACCTGGTGATCCAGTACGCGTCTCAGGGCCGCTACGAGGTGGCTGTGCCGCTCTGCAAACAAGCTCTGGAGGATCTGGAGAAAACCTCGGGACACGACCACCCCGACGTGGCCACCATGCTCAACATCCTGGCACTCGTGTACAGGTGAGAGAGCGATCTTCATCACATGACACATCACATCATCGCCATGTGCTGACTTCACCGTCTGTGTGTCTCAGGGATCAGAATAAATATAAAGAGGCGGCTCACCTGCTGAACGACGCTCTCTCCATCAGAGAGAAAACACTGGGCAAAGACCATCCTGCTGTAAGTCACGTATATTTATTCAGTCTTGTTACTGTCACATCCATCAGTTTTTAGATTATATCAGATTCATCCCAATAACAGAAAAAAAAACTACAGCAGGACATTATCATGAAATAAATTATTTCAAGTTTACTTGTCAAATCAAATGTATTTATATAACACTTTATACAATACAGATTGACTCAAAGCAGTGTGACATGCAATATGGTATCTAAATACTATTCTAAAATAATTTAAATATATATAGCCTATATATATATATAT